AAGGTCATTGGGTCTTGCATGTTAAAGGATCTCGTTCCGATAGATGTTTTTTTGTTCCTGTGAGTACGAGGAAGCATCCTGCCAGAGAATAAACATATTCATGTTGAACACTTTCATTTTAAATATATTTGTATTGAAAATGAACATATCAAGGATTACTCTTAACATTTTGATATCTCCGCCCGGGCACTAGGCCTTTCTGCGTACCCGGAATCCCCTCTCTTCAGAAAATCCCTCTGGCTCCTCGTATTTCTCACCACCGTTGGCAACATGTCCTACGGAATCATCGAGGTCATCGATGCATACACGTCTGGCAAAATAACCGCAATTGGGACGATATCGATGCTTCTCGTCCGTCCAATCGTCTCCGAGTCCGGACGTGCCGCGTCTTAAATCGAGCATTCGACTCGCACTGGCACCGTATTCCCTGGGAAAATTTGGCCGCTTTTCATTAGAGATGGGACGCGAACTCTTCGTTCCCCAGGATGTTGCCTAAACGATCGAGGAAGGATTCAACATAAACTCGGGAAACGTTTCCTATATAGGCCTCAAGATGGTGGAGTTCCAACGAATTCCCCCAGACCGAGTGGGGAAATGCGCCATCGATTCCTTCCTCCTGCAGCGATTCGACCCTGAAAAAAATATTCGGTCTCAAATGAAACCGTGTATTCCAAGGAGGGGTAAAGGCTAATACCTATAATGGATTCCTCATCCGTGGAAGTAGGTTACCTCCTTTGTAGTTCCTTTCTCATTCATAAGGAGTGTCTGAAATGCTGCGTTGCGTCTCGATTGATGTTCAACTCCAACCTCTCACTTTGCATGGACCAAATGCATTACCGGAACTTCTGTACGAGGTTCCGGAAGGGAGATATGATTTGAATGAGGACTTCGGCATGAAACGTAATTTGTTGATATGCCCTTGTACCTGTTTGTCTCCTAGCTTCAGTTGAGAAAGTAATCGGAAAACGTTTCCAATATATTTATTTATTTACACTATGAGCTTCAAGGATTGCACTTATGTTTAGTTTTAATACAGTTTCAGGACCAGGATCAACAATACTTTAATTTCAAGAAAACATTAAGGTTTAGGGGAGGAAAAATCGACCGTCTGGGATTCAAAATCTGAAAAGTAATTGTTGTAGGGGATCCCTAGGGAAGTGCAAAGAGGGGCCACACAGTCACCTCCGACCCATAGTTTAGCCAAAAGTCACTGCCAGATATACCGCTAGATCGCCATTTGATGAGTCGAATTCAAACGACTACAACTCGGAAACCGTTGACCAGAGGAACCCGCAAGTAACGTATTTGGAAAGCTAAGACAATCTACTTTTAAATGAGGAGTTGAGATTCAAGCTGACAGAAAAGGTCAAAGGTCAAACGGCCATATAACTGGGTATAAACGAATTTTCGAGAACAGTATTCCGACCGCCATTCGGGCCACAGATCCACCACAGACAAAAGCATATATGCGACTTTAGAGCACCTATCGGTCGATCTGTACACCAAATCTCATGGGCCTTGTACAGAGCATTTTGGAGAAAAGTACCAAAATGTGCTCGAAATAGGAGCCAAAAACGCTACTCCGCGTGGTTTTTTCTATTTTTCTCTGCTTCGAGGCACAAATCGCGAAATGTTCTCTGATAGATCGATAGGGAACAGTCTCTAGATTGCAGGGACGCCAGAATCGTGTTTATACCTGCAAGTGTTCCCTCGGAAAGTTTATTCAAAGTTGTGCATTTTTTAAAGAAAAATCGCCCCCCATTGGCCCTTGACAACACCATCACCTGAATGCGTCACCAGACACATGTGGGTGAAAAATCACGACAGATTCATCGATAGATCGATAGATATGAATCGTCGGAAGGAGTCCATGCAAAAATCACCATTTATCTACCCGGACTCCCACAGAATAAATCACGTTTCTGACAGGGATAGAAGTCCCTCTCTCTCTCTCGTCCCTGCCAACGTTTACGCGCTCGCCGCAGAATGCGAGCCCAGGCTCCTCAAAAGCAAAAATCGCAAATCCTTCGTTGCTCACACTCGAATCTTCGAATCGTTCCTCACTCTAGGCACAAAACTCGATTTCGGACTGAAACTTGCGACCCTGTTCCGCAGGCTGTGTCTAAATGAACGGCTCGGCCAGCTGCCTGATAATACAGTATTGCACAACCTTTCCCCCTAGAGGGCCAAATTGTTATTTGGCTGATGTTTGAGGGCCGCAGTCCATCTTCACCAACCAAAATAGCCCGCACAAAAATATAAATTTTTAGAGACTGCAGGCATGAAAAGGGCCAGGAAAACAATGTATCCGCCGGTCGTGGTTTTTCATCTCAGGTGCAGAATTAATAACTTCGAAGCTGTATTTGCCGACTCCCGACCGAAAAGTCGATTGCCACTGGAGCTGCATAATCGATTCGCATTTGGGGTCAATCATATCGAGTCGATCTGCCACATGATGTAGGATGATATGAAATACCGCCTGCGGTAGTTTGCAAGGTGATCGATCTATCAGAGAATATTGCAGGATTACAGCATTGAAGGCGAATCGGGACGCATGCCAGACGAAAGCGTACTTTCGGGAGGGAGGCACCGAGCACTGTCTGAAACGTTTGGTTTCTAGTGAATGTTTGGGGAGTTAATGTGATGTTTCGGACAACGATGCACTCAGAAAACCTTGTGCCGTCGACGTGTCGAAAAATATGCAATGATTTTGCAACGGAGACACCCGATCGAGTGCGCCGATGAAAGCCCGGTCAGGTAGAGGCGTCCTGCGGATATTCTACCGAAGACGCTCTGTTTGAATGAACTTTCCGAGAGAACCTGACAATATATTAATATTTCATACGTGAATGTGTCCATAAATTCCAGACAACACCCTCCATCGATCTATGAAAGAATATTTCGAGGTTTCAGTATGAAGTCGTATCAGGAAGGCTATGTGACTCGAGCGTACAGGAGGGAGGAGAGGGTTGGGGGGCATTCGGAAACGAGAGACATCAGGAGTGAGCGGAGAGAGAAAAGGTGGGGTATGGATTTCGGGCAGGGGATACGCTCGGGAGACCCTTTGCTGTCGACGTGCAAAAAAATATATGGTGATTTTTCAGCAGAGATACCTGATCGGCAGCGCCGATGAAAGCCTAGTTTCAGTGGAGGCGGACGGTGTGTATCCTGCCGGAAACGCTCGGCTTGAATGAATTTTCCGAAGAAACCAGAGCATAGATCGCAAAGATGAATGTATCCACGCACTCCAGGCAATCATATGTATCGATCTATCAGGGAAAATTTCAATAGTTACGTCTGAAAAGCGATTTCGGACTTTTTCGACAACTTTGTTGAATGGGGGCGAAATATCATTTTGGTTTGAATGAACTTTCTGAACCTACCGCAAAGGGACGAACGAAGTCTCACTGTCATCCAGAGAGTCTTTTCTATCGATCTATCAGAGAAGATTTTGCGATTTTTGCTTTTGAGGAGCCTGGGCTCGCATTCTGCTGCGAGCGCGTAAACGTTGTCAAAGAAGAGGGGGGGGGGCGATTTCCTGTCGGAAACGTGATTTTTTCTGCTGGGGTCCGGGTAGATAAATGGTGATTTTTGCATGGACTCCATCTCACGATTCATATCTATTGATCTATCAATAAATCTGCCGTGATTTTTCACGTTGTCAAGGGCCAATGGGGGCGATTTTTCTTTAAAAAATGCACAACTTTGAATAAACTTTCCGAGGGAACACTTGCAGGTATAAACACGATTCTGGCGTCCCTGCAATCTAGAGACTGTTCCCTATCGATCTATCAGAGAACATTTCGCGATTTGTGCCTCGAAGCAGAGAAAAATAGAAAAAACCACGCGGAGTAGCGTTTTTGGCTCCTATTTCGAGCACATTTTGGTACTTTTCTCCAAAATGCTCTGTACAAGGCCCATGNCTATCAGAGAACATTTCGCGATTTGTGCCTCGAAGCAGAGAAAAATAGAAAAAACCACGCGGAGTAGCGTTTTTGGCTCCTATTTCGAGCACATTTTGGTACTTTTCTCCAAAATGCTCTGTACAAGTCCCATGAGATTTGGTGAACAGATCGACCCATAGGTGCTCTAAAGTCGCATATATGCTTTTTTATGTGGTGGATCTGTGGCCCGAATGGCGGTCGGAATACTGTTCTCGAAAATTCGTTTATACCCAGTTACTGTATATGGCCGTTTGACCTTTGACCTTTTCTGTCAGCTTGAATCTCAACTCCTCATTTAAAAGTAGATCGTCTTACCTTTCCAAATGCGTTATTTGCGGGTTCCTCTGTTCGACGGTTTCCGAATTGTAGTCGTTTGAATTCGACTCATCAAATGGCCATCTAGCGGCATCTTTGGCAGTGACTTTTGGCTAAACTATGGGGCGGAGGTGACTGTGTGGCCCCTCGGTTTCACCTTAGGTTCTTCGACCGTAAGGTGAAACGATGCTCGCTGGTGGGTTAGAGATAGGATATTGGAGTAGTCCTACTCGTCGTAGCAGTTGTGTCTTCACGACAGTTTGCTTATGAAGTTGGCGGCTTGGGTGAAGAACGCAGCGAAGACCACGAGCACCACGTGCTCGACCTTCGACCATCGTCCCAAGTTTGCACGTTAATTATAATTTTTTCCTGAAAAAGTAAAATAAGAGGTAATGTATTTGGATCGCCTTGAAAGTTCTGATTTTTCTAGAAGAAACCATTGGCATTTTCTGGAATTCTATTGTTTTGTCAGAATGGAAAGAATGCCTATGTTTCATAGTAGCAAAATGTCGATAGGAGAGGGGCCATGTTTTTCCTTCTTGGATGTGATCGTCTAATTTTAATATTATGCAATGAATGTCAAACCACACGCGAGAATATGCGCAACTGATAATTCTTTACTTCCACATCTATGAGATTTTAAATTATTATTTGCTCCTCGAAAAGGAATATCGAATTTCCTTTCTCTGGCATTTTCCTATGATAAAAAAACATTTAGAGGCACGTCAGTTGATATTCAATCTCCAAAATATATTTCATACTGGATACTTCAAACTGCTTGTGGCGATCACCATGTGGAAGAAAGAGATACTGACGAGCAATTTTCTACAATGGAGCATTCACGCCCTCGACCCTGCCTGATCCATTTAAAGGGAAAGAAGTCAAATGAGTGCAATCGCATACTCATTGGTTTGTTTTCACCGTTCTTCAATGACTTTTGGGGCGATCCGTTTCCACTCGTCAGATGTACGATCTAGTGGCGTTTCAACATTGCTCGGTCTCTTCATCGTATACAGCGATAAAGTCATCTCCGAATATCGGATTCTCAATTTGCTCGGATCTACTGTGACGATTTTCCTCGTTCCCAGAGAATGGGTCGTCTATGAGTCTTGCAGGTGTCCTGGAATTTTCTTTTTGCACTTGTGGTTCCTGTCTTCCCTGTAGGTGATCCTCTTGTGATATGGTTGCCATCTTCGGCAGATTGTCCGTCTTTGGCTGAAAATTCTCCGATTTCACGTGTTCGGGTGCAGTTGAAACATCTTCCGTTCCATGCTTTTTACTCAACGGTATCAGGTATCCATCTTCAGTATCAGTTGGCATCAATTTTAAGTAGTCCGTCTTGGTCCGGAAGTACTCTGCGTTCTTTTTCTCGAACAACTCGTACTTTTCCATGTAGTGCTGTAAGAGAACATCATCGAAAAGTTGTTGAAATCTGGATTGGAATTATAGATCGAAAGGGTATGGAAGAGATTCTCACCAGACGCTCAGACTCAGGAAGCATTTCGCCTAACCATGCGCTCAACGCGGGGAAAGTCGGACGATTGTTTGGATTCTCATCCCAACACCTCCTCATTATTTGGTAGCTGTTCAAGCACGGAAAGAAATTCTCGGTATGAACCGCCGATGGACATCATGTTCAGAGTTAAAAACCGCGACCGGTAAACAGCGTCTCACAAATGATAATCGGCGAATCGAGGTGCCTCCATGCGGTACCCCGTCTGGAGAAGCCGGACCTCGAGACGCGGCAAATAAGGTCCTATGCCCCAGAAGGGTTCCGACTTGTAAAGGGTTTCACATTAAGGTATGCGGCAAACATCTGATTTGCTCGTATAGACCATGTCCTGTGTGAGGGACTCCAAGGCCATCCATTTTATCGGCAACGGACCCTGGAAGATTCAGATTCCGTCCATTAGTGAAAGTAGACCAATCATAGATATGACAACATACCGAGAAAGGCAGATGTGGAACTCACATCCCCCTTCGTGATGTACTGATTGTTCTTATAGATGTCTCTGGCAAGGCCAAAGTCGGAGATTTTCACGATTTTTTCTTCTGCAAGTAGAATGTTTCTCGTGGCCAAATCCCTATGGACAACCTTTGAGAGCAATGAAAACTCAAAGAATATTAGTCAGTTTCTGAATTCCAGAAATTTGGTTAAACTCTTTTTTTCCGACATCATCAAAAAGGCATTTAATAAATTGTAATTGATATTGACCATTGCCCAGGTCAATTTTAAATAGGGTTGCTAGGATTAAAAATTGAATATTTGAAATGAAATTTTTTGGCCCTTAAGGTGGGCTGTGACACGCTGGTAACATATATTGAGGATCAGAAAGAGATGAGAAACTAGATAAGAATTTGCTCAACCTAAGCTCCTTTCCTTCTCACTCCTGTGCTTCATGTATTTTTCAATATTCAAATTCCGATCTCATCAAAAAATTAACCCTAAGTGGAGCTCGGTGATTCACATTAAGACGGTGATTTCACTTTGTCCATCACGTGATCGTTTGAAGCCCTTGAAAGATGACAGACAACTAGTGGGAGCTTGCGAGTCTTCTTTTCATTTTAGCTGAAGGTGACAATTGAGAGTGTTGAGATCGGAGAGGCTCACCTTACGGGAACCCAAGTATTCCATGCCTTTAGCTATCTGGTAGGCCCAAGAGACGAGATTTCTAGTCGTGAATTGTCCTGAGCGATCGCTTCCTTCTGAAGACTGATGGCTGGTGTTCCCCTTTAGCGCAGGGTGTTTTGAAACAATCTCACTTCCTGAAATTAAAATTATTTATGGGAAGTGCTGCCATTAAGCTTTTGCTATTGAAAATTACAATTGCAAATGGATATACTGCTGCAATATTTCGGGTGATTTCACCGATCCAGAATCTCGGCTGATTGAAAGTTTACGATTTATGGTGCACGATGTTTTAAATTGTACAATGGCAACATTTTCTGGCAGATACGTGAAACGAAAGAGGTGGCGTCAAGGAATAATGCCAAGATGAAGAATTTGATCATACCACTGGAAGATGGAATAATCCCGGAGGCAGAGGCAACAGAATCCTTCTGGAGTACTGCGTCAGTTTCTCTGGAGCCAGTCGCCGGAGATGCAGCCGCGACATATTTCACAACCCATTCGCTGCTTAGACGAGAAGGATGTGTTGCCTGGGAAGGTGTTGGCAAAACAGATAGTAAAGAACGTGAAAGAAAGGCTCACACTTGTGTTCCATCCCTCTGAGCTTTGAGTGCAGCATCTTCTTTTGCAGAACCATCGGTGCAATGCCCCTGTCTCCCAGTGCTGTCATCGAGCGTTTTGGTGTGACGGTCCATCAGATCGACGAAGTTCGGTTCATTTGCCCTCAGGTACTTCTCCAGACTCCCAAAAGGGCAGTATTCCATGATCATCATCAGATCCCCTAACATGAATATTCATTTATTTTGAATCGATTTTAATGGCTTACATAACAATTAGGAGAACGATATATTATGACGTTTTATCGTGGCATGACCTGAAAAGAAATTCATGCAATTTCTGGAGCAATCCTTTTTCATCTAGAATCTATACCGAAGTAAAGAGAACCATTGCCCCCAACACAGAGATCGAGCTGCTCCATGAACCAGAGGCGGCATGGAAACGATGTAACGTGTGTCTCAGCTCAGCCTGTTCCGGGAGTCCGGGGGGGGATTACTGACTGGTTCTCTAACCTGATTGGTTGGTTCTACGTTACAGGTACGGATGAACGGGTGCTATTAAGACACTCGGATACTTTTGGAGAAAAAAATTTTTCTGTTGTTGTTAGTGCGGCTATTGAAATCATTGAGAAAATTTTTTATTGGGCGTATCATTAACTCTTCGATAAAAGGCATTCATGCAAGAGAGAGAAACCATATGACGACCCATCAAAAATTTCCCGGAATGAGCATCGTACTGGCGAACGAGTTACCTCATTTAAATCTCAATATGATCACCTTCAAAACATTTAATCGGGTCTAAAATGCACTTCACCCAACGTTAGTATAGATGCCAGAACCCCGACTGAATCTATTTTTCTGGAAACTTCCTTCCTTCAACGCTTTCGTCGCGGTTACTTGTGGGTTATTCCATACGAACTCAACCAGTGTTAGTGTAATATGCCACCCGACCACTTCAGATTTCGGGATGAAAATTTCAGCGATAACAGTCAATCTAAAAACCTTATATAAAAAAGAAAGGACTCCATTGGATTAGCTGTTGGTGAGATATCGCCCCCCGAACTTTAGAAGGAAACGTAAAAAACCCACGGACGGAATAAATTAATCTCAGGAATCGTTCATCGCATGGAGGCGTGCAATAGATTCCCAAGCAGCATATTAACGTAAA